CCATTCACGCAGCCCTGGGCGCACACCGGGCGGCACAGCCCCGTGACACTGCAGGGACAGGGAGGGGTCGGGGCAGGGCAGTGGCCAAGCCCACCCTCACATCCTCACCCCTGCTGTTCCATCTCTCCCCTCTGTAGGAGCCTGCCCACAGCCCCTCTTTCTGGGGTACCCCATCAAATTCATAACCTTGCCCTCCACTGCCTACCCCCCTGGATCAATCCTACCACCATCACACCTTGGACCGTTTTCTTTCACCCTGCTTTGGTCCACGCTCCATCCCTTACTGCTCCTTACACTCTCCTACTCCAGTCTGTCCGGACCCTCTCCCCTGGACCCCACCCCAGGCCCCAGGCCGGCTGCAGCCTCACTTGTCCATGAGGTAGCCCGTCTTGCAGCTGCACTCATAACCGTGGGGCTGGTCATGGCAGTTCTGAGTCTCATTGCAGTCATGGTGCCCGTTCGCACACTCGTCCTCAGGGGGGCAGGACAGGAAGGCCCAGGAAGCCCCAGGACGCCCACACGTCAGCCCTAGCACAAGATGCAGGGCTTCACTGGGGCCACTGTATCTCTCACCCAGCCACCCAGGCCCTTGCTCCTACTTCCCCTGAGCCCCACCTCTGAGACCGCCCCCAGCACCCCTCCATGCTCCCTGCCAGCCCCTCTCACCCCACCCCCGAGCCCCTCTTACCATCACGGGGGCCGCTGAGTCCACCCTCCAGGCAGCGGCCACCCCCATCCTGGCCCCCCCAGGCACACCAGCCACAGTGGGGGCGCCGCAGGCACAGGGCGCACTGGGTTGCCTGAGCACAGCCCAGGGAGCAGCTCTCGGGCCCTCGGAGCAGCCGCCCACAACCTCCAGCCATACATCGCAGGGGCAGGTATGAGGGGCTCAGACACTGTCCAGAGGAGGAGAAATGCAGATCCACGGGGTCAGATAAACACATCCGGGGTATCTTCCCAACCACACCCTCCTCTCAGAGAGCTCACCCTCCCTGGCCACAGCTGGGTGGGCCAAAGTGGACACCACCTGGGTCATCATGGCACTCTCCCTCTCAAGCATCCATAACTGAGTCAGACTAGGGACACCCTTGAAACTAGAAGATTATATAACCCGGGCTGCAGGGCCGTTTGAATGAGCAAATGACAGCAATGACGAGGAGAGGAAGAAGCAGGAAAAGGAAGCGAAGATGAGCACCACACCCCCAAACGCTGATGGAGAGGCGGCTTTCCAGCTCCAGCTCCAGCTCCCATCCCCAGACACCTGGCTGCGCTCTCCACCCGGCTTCCCAGGGGTCCTCTGTGTTGGTGCAGTGAGTCCTCTTTACCCCCTTGGCTCAGGGCACAGCTGCTTCTTACAATGACCCCAGGTGGAGAGAGAAACGAGAATCAGGAGGACCTGGCTGCTGGGGCAACAGCTCCGGTCCTGGCCTGGGAAGCTGAGAAGTCCACAGTCAGCGGCTGAACAGCAGCTCACATGCCGTCACTTATCACATCCTGAGACCCAGACAAGGTGCGTAATGAGGGTCAGGCTCTTGGGAACGGACCTCAGTGTATAAGGCCGTTTTATTTGCTGCTCGGGCCTTACGTAAAGCATAAGAGGAAAGAGATTCGTCTGGGCTGGTTGGCTGGCAGCACTTAGGGAAAACCAAAGCCAGCATGCAATCCTGAAATAGAAAACACTGACTGCTGTGGCCGGAGCTTTGAGCCCTTTGAGGGTTATGGCCAGCGATGAGCTGAGCCTTGCTCAACAGTCAAATTCTCTACCAGGCTAGGCCTCTGGTTCTAAATTTAGAGCACCCATCGGCAGACAGCAGAGCAATCTGCAAGTTGGTGGAGAGAAGCCCGAGGCTCCAGTCTGCACAGCGCCTTCTGCTATGACCTCCCTAATGGCCAAATGCGATGCTGCCCAACTGCATTGCCCGTGCTCCTGGCAGAGACATATGAACATAAGTTCCAAGAGCAGGATCCAAGCTCATCTATGACGTGCCCACAGCCTAGCAAAGTGCCTGGGCACAAAGGAGGTACTCAATAAAGAATTTGGTGGCCCTAGCCGGTTTTGCTCAGTGAATAGAGCAAACTGAAGGGTCCTGAGCTCGATTCCAGTCAAGGGCACGTACCTTGGTTATAGACTCCCAGCCCACGCGGGAGGCAACCAATCGATGTGTCTCTCTCACACTGGTGTTTCTGTCTGTCTCTCCCTCTCCCTTCCACTCTCTCTAAAAATCAATTTTAAAAATGTCCTTGGGTGAGAATTAAAAAAAAAGAAAAGAAATTGGTGAAAGGGCTAAAGGGGTGGGGGGAAGGGAGACATCTGTAATACTGTCAACAATTACATATATTATTGTTGAAGGGAGAAAGGGAAGGAGGAAAGAAGTCAGCCAGCCAGGGAACAGAGCACTCCCTTGCCTGTGCCAGGCTCTGAGGCCAAAGCCATAAAAGAACATGCTGGATGGTTAAATACAGCTGCCCCTGAGCTAGATTATAACAGCCCTGGCCTGCACACCCTTATGCTTGGTCTGTGCTGTGGTCGTTTTTAAAAACCTGAGCCAACACTTTAACCAGAAGATCTGGTGGAAGTCCTCTCACATTCGCAGGCAGAATCAACTTGGAGCTCTCCATCACTTCCCCCTGCCTCAGGCCTGGAGCTGCCCTGAGAGCCTGGCAGGCCCACAGGGGCGGGGGAAGAGCACGTGCTCTCTGTCTGGTCCCTGGAGCACCCACAGAGACAAATGATGGCAATCTCAATATCTGGGAGAAGTTCCATCACCAGATAGAGCCCAGGCTGGGGGAGGGGAGGCCTCCGCTTGTTAAGCACCGACACTGCGGGGTCACACTGAGACCCCCACAGGGACATCCACTCCCCACCTCATGCAGGGATCCTCCAGGTGTGTCCCAGAAAGTGGAGATGGGGAACCTTCCCGTGGGTGGAACCTGGGGCGTTGCTGAGTTTTTACTTAATGGCAGGCTCTGCTCCATGTTCTATCAACACATCCTCCCATTTAATTTGTACAACCTGCCTACAGGATGGTGTGGTGCAACACAAAAACATAATTTGGGTTTTGTCCGATTCCTGGCACAAAGCTACAATTCACCAAGAGCCCCTTTCTCCCATGAGTTTATGCTACTGAGGTGACTTGGAGAGGGTCACCAGAAAGATCAAATGATTAGAGGGGTATAACTTTTTAAAAAAATATATATTTTATTGATTTTCTACAGAGAGGAAGGGAGAGGGATAGAGAGCCAGAAACATCTATCAGCTGCCTCCTGCACGCTCCCCACTGGGGATGTGCCCACAACCAAGGTACATGCCCTTGACCGGAATCGAACCCGGGACCCTTTAGTCCCCAGGCCGATGCTCTATCCACTGAGCCAAACCGGTCAGGGCGAGAGGGTATAACTTTGAGCCCCACCCACTGACCTGGTGATTGAGCTCTATAAAAACTCTTGAAAAAGACAAGGTTCAGAGTTGGTATACACACCCGCTGGGAGGCTAGTGTGCCCAGAGAGGGCATGGAAACTCTGTACACCCTCCTCATCTGGCCCTGTTAACCTCCTCACGTGGCTCTTCCTAAATCACATCTTTGTAATACACTGGGATCAGTAAGGAAATGCTTCTCTGAGTTCTGTGAGCTGTTCTAGCAAATCAGCAAACCTGCAGTAGGGTTGCTGGGCACTGGATTTATAGCTGGTGGGTCAGAAACACAGGAGGCCTGGACTTGTGACTGATGTCTGGAGCGGGGGCAATCTTCTGAGCTCTTTAACTTGTGGGATCTGGCGCTACTCCAGGTAGAGAGTGTCAGTAGTGTATTGAGTTGTTGGATTCCAGGTTGTATCTGGAAAACTGGTGAATTGGTCACTGGTGTTGAAACACCTCAGATGGGGCCCGGCCAGTTTGGCTCAGTGGTTGAGCATCTACCTAAGAACCCAGAGATCACGGTTCGATTCCTGGTCAGGGCACATGCCCAGCTGCGGGCTCAATCCCCAGTGGGGGGCATGCAGGAGGCAGCTGATCAATGGTTCTCTCTCATCACTGATGTTTCTCTCTCTCCCTATCCCTTCCTCTCTGAAATCAATAAAAAAAATTTTAAAAAAAAGAAACACCTTACATGGGGTCTGTTGATATCAGTCCTATTTTACCAAGGATTCATGTAGAATCCAGGGGTGGGCAAACTTTTTGACTCGAGGGCCACAATGGGTTCTTAAACTGGACCGGAGGGCCGAACAAAAGCATGGGTGGAGTGTTTGTGTGAACTAATATAAATTCAAAGTAAACATCCTATACAATAAAAGAGAAAAATGGTAATTGGCGTATGGCGATACCCTTTTCATTGGCTAATCAGGGCTATATGCAAATTAACTGCCAACTCAGATGGCAGTTAACTGACAACAAA